CTAATTAAGGTTCTTAATTACAGACAACAGAAAAGGATTCTAGTCTACTTAAGCAGAGGAGGAATATCGTGGGATGATATCAGACAGTTCACAGAATTGGCAGGAAGCCTCACGAAAGAAGCATGGGAAGGAGGCAGGCGCCAAGAGAAGCTGGGCAGCCAGAATCTCAGCCCTATCCTGCCCTAGACACAGCTCGATTAGGGGGCTGCAGCCCCAGTTCCCTGGAGGTTACCCTCAACCGGTTCCCACCACCTGAGCGTGGACTCTCACTGCCTCTGGGATAAACTATGACCTGCATACGTGCTGCCTCCCTGCACATACTCAAGATCAGGGTCCTGCGGGGTAGCATTGATTTGGCTGTGAACTTCCTGTGAGGGGTCAAGGGAGCAAGTATCTGACTTCCTAGTGAGAGCCACACTAGAGAGGGTCCACCAGCACAGAACAGGGGCTCAGATGCTTTGAAGCTGAAGACCCCAATGTGTATCCACAAACAGAAGACCCTCATCAACCCCCAACACCCACAGTTTTTCTCCCTTGCACCTGTGTTCCACCAAAGAATGACTGCAGGCAGTTTTCTGACCTAGGATGTCCTGTCGCAGCCCCTGTAACAGCTGCTCTCTGAAGATGGCCCATACTGGACCATGCTGCAAATGTGTTGTCCCACCTCTCAAATCTGGGATGGCACGTGACTCATTTTCACCAAAAGCACTCTGGGAAAGTTGTGCTGCATGACTGCCGAGGAAAAGAGGTCCCAGAATCCCTGCGGCCTTTGTCTCAAGCTCTTGGAATGTCTCCTTTGGGGAAAGTCAGCCACCAAGAATGAGCTCTGTCTACCAGAGACCACCATACAGTGAGTCCAAGCCTCATGTGAAGGCAGTGAGGAGAAAAAAATGCCTTTTCTGTCTGTTCCAGTTGCTTCAGATGAGGGGCCAGATGTGTGATTAAAAAGAGCCACCTTGACACACAGCCCAGCTGATCCTTGAGGTGGCTCCAACACCAGCCTCCATCTCACAGCAGCTGCTTGAGAACCCCCAGCTAAATGTGCTCAACCCCAGGACTGTGAGAGATCATAACGAACTATTTTAAGCCATTACATTTTGGGGTGGTTTGTTAGTAGCAGAACTGAAAAGGCTTTTTGTGGTATACGTTTGGCTCCTTGGGAGTGTCCCCCCACTGTCTGGTCATAGCTGTGTGCCCACTCATGTCTTGGTGTGTCCAAATTCCACTGCTGAAACTGGGCGCGGTGGTGCATGCCTGTAATTCCTGCATTCTGGGAGGCTGAGGCAAGAGGATTGAAAGTTCTGGCTCAGTCTGGGCAACTTAGCCAGATCCTGTCCCAGAATAAAATTACTTTTAAAAGGGCTGTGGATGTAGCTCAGGTCCTGGGTTTGATTCCTAGGAAACACACATAAACACATATCCCTCTGCCTGACATAGGGCAGAGGAAAAAGTGAGCATTTGCAGTCAGCTTGTAGGGTAGGAGCAGTTGAATCTTTTTTTTTCTTTTTTTGGCTTTTTCCTTTTTATGGAACCAGGGATTGAACTCACGACTGCCTGCTTCCAAGGCAGGCACTTATGCCGCTGAGCTAAACCTCCAGCCCTGAGCAGTTAAATCTTATTTCATCACTGATTATTCACATGTCCTTGGGGAAGACAGTGAATTTCTCTGGACCTCCACATCTGCATCTGCTTTACGCAAATAAAAATACCTACCTTCTGGGATTGCTTTGAGGACCTAATATAGGAAAATCATCTAATTGTCTGGATCCCTTTCGTCTCACTACCCAAGCTTCTAGACCTGTGTCCAATGGCACACTGGACCTCATTCTTGTCACTTATGAATGCCACGATTCTGGCAAGTCCCTTAAACTCCTCTGAGTCCTGCTTTCCTCATACGTAACAGGGGTCTGAGGATAATATCCGTGTAATGGGACTTTTGACTGGGCTGCTTTGCAAGATTAGGAAACACTGCCCCCTGCAGGTAGATAGCCCAGACCCCTGAGTCCTGTCCTGTGACAGCGTGACACTGGGAATTCTCTGGATGGACACAGTTGGCGTTCCAACATATGCAGCCATGTCTAGTGGGGAATGCTGGACTTCCGGTAGGGGCCCATGAGCTCACTACCCTGAGTGAAAAAGAGGTCTTGCTGGATGGGTAAATGGGACATGCAACAGAGCAGGCCCAGGAGTCTTATTTGAAATAATATGAAGCTGGGCCTGACCATCTTGTGGTTCAGTGTATTCCCATCCTCCACTTTCTCAGGGCCTGCTTGGTGGAGCAGGGAAGATCTGGGATATAATGGCAAGGACAAGGTCATGGGAGCACAGACACCTCTTACAAAAGGGCCAGGAGCAAGAAGCACAAGTGCTTCTTCCCCTGGTGTGCGTGAGGAGGACAGACATCACAGGTGGGCCAGACCACAGCCAGTGGGCAGGCCGAGAAGCAGCAGGTGTGATGAGATGGGTGGCATTGGGCAGCAGCTCTGACCATGTGGAGGGTGACTATCAGGCTTCTTCTGAGACTCCTACTGAAGACAATGACACATGGAGATCTGGGAAGTTGCTAGACAATGCAGCTGTAGGATTTGAGTTAAATCTAATGCAAAAGAAGGCAAAACTATTTTACAGGTGTTAGTAGACAGGATAGTGGTTATCCCTGCAAAGCAAAAAGTGACCAGAAGGAAACATGGGAAGGATTCTGAGAATGGTAATGTTCTGTTTCTTCATCAGGCTCCTTTAAGTGTAAAATTATGGTGAATAGGTAAGTAAAAAAACTAACAAAAATTCTTACAGTGGACACTTTGCCACAAATCTCTCAAAACTCTCCCCCTTGCTTCAAGCACACTTATTCCATCTTTTTTTTTTTTCATTTTTATTGGTACCAGGGATCAAACTCACGACCACCTGCTTACAAGGCAAGTACTTATGCTGCTGAGCTAAATCTCCAGCCCCTATTCCATCTTTCTTGCCACTTTCTGAAGCAGTTCTGGCAGGGTTTTTTTTTTTTTTTTTTTTTTTGTGTGTGTGTGTGTGTGTGTGTGTGTGTGTTTTTTCTGTGACTGCCCTGATGCCCTGAGTCAATTCAAAATGTTTATATTGATTTCAAATAAAGATAGTATGGTATGTGGGCATACACCTTCCTTGCTTTTTCCCAAAGCCAAAATGAATGTGAAAGATAATTATGTTAAACTTCAGGGAACTGAGACAGCCACAAAAAGGATTTCCAGAGCGGCCTCAGAAAGTGGCAAGAGTGGTGAGATAAGTGAGGGGGAGTATTTTGAGAGGGATTAAGAGCAATGTGATTTTTTTTACGGTAATAAATATTTTTAAAGTTTAAAATATTCACCAATTTTGATCACACTGCATAGTTACACTACTGGGTTCATTCTGTAAAACTTAAGTATCCTTAACATTTGTACACGTTTAGGTATGCTGCTTCAATAACAGAGTAATACATACACACGCACACACACACAACTAGGATGAACAGTCATCCTCCACTTTAAGCCCTTTGAGATGGCTCCACATCCAGGAAGAGACCAGGAGATTGGAGGTGGGGATGACCTGGTGTCTGGCCAGGCTTATTTGACTTCTTCCTCATTCACTTATGGTTTATTAAGTACTTCCTACACTTGAACAATGCAAAACATGTAAGGGGGTGTACAAAGATTGTTAATAACTATAGTTTTCATTGAGAATTTATTCTGGAGTGGACACTAAACATATCTTCCAATAATCTGATGATACATTATTACAATTCCATCTATCGGTTGAAAAATACCAGTCTCATAAAGGTTAAGCAAGTTGTTCAAGGTCACACAGTGAAGAAAGTGTCTGGATTTTCCTATGCACCAGTCTTCGAGGGCCCATAGCCCGGACCTGCAGTGCTCCTTAGGAATCTGACAGGTAGACCTTACAGAAATGAGACCTCAGATTGCCTTGAGAGAGTCTGAATTTGAGTTGATTTTTTGTGTTTTTGTTTTATTTACTTTTTTGAGACAGGGTAGCTTATGCAATTCGGGCCGGCCTTCGGCTTACTTTGTAGCCCAGGGTGGTCTCCAATTTGCAATGATCCGCCTGCCTCAGCCTCCCAAGTGCTGGGATTACAGGAGTGTGCTACCAAACCTGGTTTAAGAATTCGAGAGCTTTGGTGACAGTTTACTCTGATCCTTGGCATGTTCCTTCACTCTTTCTGAGCCTCAGTTTGCCCAGCTGTATCATAAAGTGTAAAAAGCCCTTGCCATTCCCTGGGAGTTACTGTGGGAACTACATGAGACATCGGGCACGTCGCGTGAGGAGATTTGGCATCTGAGTCCTGGATCACACACCCCAGGCAGAACCCCAGGAGGGCTGCGCTGCTGCGCTCACGCTAGGCCGCTGCAGCTCCTAGCCTCCCTATCGGAACCTTAGGACCAGGTGCATTTTAAAACGAACCGGTAACCTTAAACTCTGTCCGTGTTGCTACAAAACCGGCCAGGCGACGGGCCCTCTCACCAAACGCCACCCGAGGAGCCAGCACCACAAAGCCAGCGCGGATTCACCCACGCCAGCTGCAGGCGAGAAGACGCGCGCCATCGCGAGACTCAGCGGCCGCGCGCGCAGACCGGAAGTGAGGGCCGGGCGGGGCCGCGCGCTCCTTTTGAACTCCAGGCAGGGCTCAGGGCTGTGTCCGGACCCTTTGTCTGCTGAAAGCTAAGCGAGGGCGGAGCGGGGCCTCCCGGGACCTCCGGGTGGAGATCGGCCGGGAGCGCCACTGTCCTGGCCACGCGCTGGCACCCGGGTCGCTGAGGCCCCTCCTCCTCCTCCGAGCTACAAGCAGCTCGGCGGCGCCTCTGCGGAACAGCGGCGCCCCGCCAGCTGCGGCTGGGCCGCGCGGAGCCGGGGCCCGCACCGCGGTGCGGAGAAGCGTCACGTCCCGGGCCCTTCTGTGACTGTGGAAGGCGCCTTAGCAACACGTTCACGTTCTCCTGTTTGTACACGTTAGCAAAACGAAGGTATTTCTCCTCGAGTTTGTAAAGACCATTGTCTTTTTCTATTGAGAATTCTCGGATCTGGGGGCATTGGAGTGGCTGTGGGCTTTTTTTTTTTTTCTTTTGATTTTACTGTCGGGAATGCTCTGAATTAAGAGTGTTGTGGGATACAGTTATATGGCTCATGTGGATTAAGTTATTGCTAGCCTTCCCAGTGTCTAGAATTAAGTAGGGATACCTCATAACCCACACTGCAGTGAATTGCAAATGTGACCTAAATGTGCCAGAAGTCTTTTCACCTGAAAGACTAGCTGTTGCACAGGACAATGTGAAATTCTCTGATACAGCTCAATAAGAAAAGTTTGAAGGGCCCGAGATTTAGCTCAGCGGTATAAGCGCCTGCTGGCAAGCGCAAGGTTGCCAGCTGGATCCCCATACCAAAAGAAAAAAAGAAAGAAAGAAAAGAAAAGTTTGAAAGCTACGTTTAGTGACACAGGCCCATAATCCCAACATTTCTAGGAGCCTGAGTCAGGATTATGGCAGGTTTGAGCCCAGTTTAAGCAATTTAGCAGAGTCTCACCTAAAAAAGTAAAAACAACAAAATTTTAAAAGGTGCTGGAAAAAAAGGGGTGGGGATGTAACTCTGTGAAGGCCCTGGTTCAATTCTAGTACTAGGGGTGGGGCAACCCACAAAAAATTTGATAGATTTCCCTAAGTTTGATAGCTATTCTAAAATAAGGAGTTGGAAAGCTGAAAGAATCTTGACTTTTTTTTTTGTCAGTACCAGGGATTGAACTCACAACTGCACACTTGCAAGGAGGCACTTATGCCACTGAGCTAAATCCCCAGCCCCTGAAAGAATCTTTTAAGGTAGCAATACAGTAATCCTCTCCTTTTACACTTGCTCAGATTCAGCTATGTGTGGCCAATTTGGGTCCAAAAATGTTCAATGGAACATTCCAAAAATAATTCGTAAGTTTTTAATTACTTTTATTATACCATGTTTTTATAATCATTCTATTTCATTATTTTTGTTAGTCTCTTATTTATTTACTTTTTGGCTTTTTGAGACAGTCTCCCTAGGGAGTGCAGGCTTGCCCGGAACTCATTATGTAGCTCAGGCTGGCTTCACACTCAGGGCTATCTTCCTTTTGCAGCTTCCCTGGTGCTGAGATTACAGGTATGCACTGCCACAAACAATGTTATTCTCACTGTGACTGATTCACCATAGATATGTTATATGTGTTGGAAAATACATCACCCTAGGGCAGCTGTCTGAAGTTTTGGGCGGCCTTTGGCAGGGGTTCTTTGAATGCATCCTCAAAGGATAACGAGGAATCACTGTAATAACACATTTTGATCAGCCATGAAAGCAAAAAGACTAAATGATTGAGGGTTAGTCTTGGGGACATGAATGTACCTTCTAGGTCACACCCTCAGAGACCCTCCTCCCAGCAGCTACTGAATTCTTTGATGAATCCCGTGATCCAGTCACCTTCCAAATGCCTGGGTCTTTTGGGGGACATTTTAGATTTAAACCATAACATTGAGCTTCTTAGTTTCTCCCTAGGAAATTCCAGAAAATTGTTAAAGAGACCCTCAAAGAATATGAAGCCAGGCCCTGTGTAGTGGCTTGTGCCTCTAGTCCTGGCTACTTGAGAGGCTGAAGCAGGGGAATTGCTTTTGCCCAGAAGTTGGAGCTCAGCCTAGGCAACATAGCAATTCTCTTTCTCAGAAACACAGTTTTTGAAGATGAATTTACATAAAGCTCTGGCCTCACAAAATCTAAATCTGCCCTTAAATAGTTTTGCTCCCTCCTGACTACTCTGATTAGAGCAGGGCATGTGTTTCTTCTCTTAGTTGTTGAGAAAATGGCAGCTCAGAGTGGTTATGTTGCTTTTCTGTGGCTTTGACTGGCACAACCCGAATCTTTGGGTTCTCAGTTCACACCAGGGGTAATTGCCCTATTCTAAAACCTCCCACCATCTTCAGGGGGTAGGGCCTAAGTGCACCCACTTGACCTGCTTTGGGTTCTGGTTGTAGGAGAGCCTAGTAAAGGCAAAAGGGCAGGCTGGTTTCTGAAGTGCCCTCACATCTCAGATGAGAGCAGCCTTCTCTGTGTCCTCCCACCCCTGCAGTGAAGATTAAGCCTGAGCAACTGCACCCCTGAGCAACTGTTCCCTCTGTTAGGGATAGAAGTATGCGACTCTTAAATAGAATCAGAATAAACTGATTGCTGGGAAGGATGGTTGGATACCTGTATTCTCAGTACATGGGAGGCTGAAGCAGGAAGATCAGCATGAGTTTGAGGCCAGCCAAGGCTACACAGTGTGTTCAAGACTCGTCTGAACTACATATTGAGACCCTGTCTCACCCTCCCTTTAAAAAAAAAAAAACCAAAAACAGAATAGACCGGTGAGCCGGCTGTGTGTGAATATGCATAGGAACATGTCTTTTGTTAATTCTCAAGCCAAGTGTATTTTTGGTCTGTTTCCCTGGAGACTGGTGGGGAGTACGGAGAGACCTTACCAAGCATAAGTATAATTTTGCCAGTTCGTTTCCTTTGCATTTCCCCAAATTAGTCACCCCAGCTTTCCACCTGAGCTGATTTTTCCAAGGTCACTAACAACTTCGCTGCTAAAACCAACTTTTCAGGCCTTAATCTGTTCTTTCCTGCTGCTAGTGGTCTTTTCAAATGTCAGCCTTCATTTAAACTCCTTCAGTGGATCTTCACTGCTTTTAGGATTAAGACTCACATGACTGGCCCCAGTCTCTGGTGTTACCCCAGTCCAAATGTACTCATTTTTCCTTTCTCCAGAGTCCTGCTCGGCCCTGATAACAAGGCCTTCACATATGTGCCTTCAGTCGCTATTTTATTTATAAGTGCTACTTAACAGACATTGTTGTATTGGAGATACCACAGGGAACAGAGTGGCACACATTTCTGCCATTCTAGAGCTCACCTCCCATTGATAGTACTGATATGTGTTCCACCTCCCCATCCCCACTTTAGTTTTTTGGACAGGGTCTCCCTGTAGTATCTCAGCTGGCTTTGAATTTGGAACCTCCACCTCTGTATCTGATGCTGGAATTACAAGCCTGATTTTTGTTCCTTGCTGAAATATTTTTCTTCTTCCTTTTTCTCCCCATTGATTTATTGATATTTATTGATATTCCCCAATATTATTGATACTGCTTTATTGAGATATATTTCAACATACCTTAAAATTCATGCAATTTGTTGGCATGGTAGTTCACATTTGTGATCCCAGCACCCTGGAAGGCTGAGGCAGGAGGATGGCAAATTCACAACCACCCCAGGAGACTTAATAACTTAGCAAGAATCTGTCTTGAAATTAAAAAGAAAAGATTGGGAATGTAGCTCAGTGGAAGACACTGGGTTCAGTCCTTAATACACACACACAATCACATACATACAGGCATGTGCACATACACAAGAAGAAAGAGGAGTTTTATAAAATTTACTTAAAGTGCACAATGTAGAATATTCAGAGTTTTGCGACTGTCTCCACAATCAATTTTAGAACTTTTTCACTCCAGAAAAAAGCCGTTTCTGTTAATAACCACTTGCTTTCCCCTACAATGTGCCTAGCCCTAAACAACTGATCTACTTTCTGTCTGTATGGACTTGCCAATTCTGGATATTTCCTATAAATGAAGCATGGGATCTTTTTATTATTTATTTATTTATTGGTACTAGGAATCGAACTCACAACCTTGCTCTTTTCCAGTCAGATGCTTGTGCCCCTGAGTTATAGTCTTGGCCCCATCATGTGGTCTTTTATAACAGCTTCTTTCGCTTAGCGTGCTATTGCTGGTATCAGTACCTTTTGTCAAATGATATTTCATTGTATGTTATGCCATGTTTCACTTACCCACTTCATCAGTTGAAGGGCATCTGGGTGGTTTCTACTGTTTGGCTATGATGAGTTAAGTGGCTATTTTCCGGTACAAGTGATGGTATGAACATATGTTTCCAGTTTCCTGGGTATATTCTTAGGAGTGGAATCGCTGAGTCATACGATAACTCTGTGTTCAGTGTTCTCAGAAGTTGCCATTCTGTTTTCACAGCAGCTGCACTAGTTTACATTCCCATCAGCAGTAATGAGGGTTCCAGTTTCTCCACATCCTTGCTGTTACAGGTTGTATTCCCCACTCGAATTCATGTCGAAGTCCCAACCCCCAGTACTTCCAAATGGGGAGTTTATTTGGAAGTAGTCATTGCAGATGTAATTAGTTAAGATGAGGTTACTCTGGCGTAGTTAGATTCCTAATCCAGTATAACTGATGTTCTTTGTAAAGAGGGGAAATCGGGACACACACACAAACACACAGGAACAACGCCACTGAAGACAAATTATACTGTGTAGGAGTCAGAAAAAGGACTCAGCTGACCCTCATATGACAAAACAGACAGGCTAGTAAAAGAAAAGCGTAACATATTTATTGCATCAAAATTTTATTTTGCTTCAGAGTGAAGACCCAAAGATACAGCGGAAGACACTGTCTAAATTTATGCTGAGGTTGGATGAAGTAGGGACAGCCACGGAGAGGTGTGATGGGACAAGAAGGATATGAACTAACGGTAACAGATGGAGCCGGGAAACCCATCAAGGCCAGGCTGCTCAACTTCCTCGTGCGCTCTGTGGTAGCATTTCTTCCTCTCTGGTGTGGGAAAGGACCCTTCAGGAATGAGCATCCTAATTCCTGCATGCTCAGCGGCTACTCAGTTGGGGAAGGTATAAGTTAGGTTAACGTTTCATGCCCAGCCCAGGAAATACAGCTGTGATGGGTGTCTCAGGGAGAAAAGCATTCTAGTTTCTCCGATCTGCCATAAAAAAGAGGAATTCTAGTTTCTAGGGCTTGCCTGGGGCGAGAAAGTGAGGACAGCAGGCAGCAGGACAGGGCAGGAGATCAAAAAGGGGTTTTGTGTTTTGAGGCTGCTTCCCAGACTGTTTGTCTGTTTCCATTAAAAATACTGTGTATGCCAGGTGCCATCATTTTCTGAGCTTAGCAGATGCTACTGCCCAAGGAGACTTCCAGAAGGTAGGAAAGCATCCTGAAAGAAGTCCTCCCACAGCAACTTCCAACGGAGCTAGCCCCAGTGACACCTTGACCGTGGGCATCTGGTACTCAGAAATGTGAGACAATAAATTTCTGTTGCTTACACCACTCAGTGTGTGGTTCCTTTGTTATGTGCTGTAGCAAATTAATACACCCTGTGACACTTGTTATTTTCCATCTAAAGATTATTGTAACCATCCTGGAGGTGAAATGGTGTCTCATTTGATTTTTATTTCCATTTGCCTGATGCAAATGACGTGGAGCATCCTTTTACATGCTTATTAGCCATTTTTATAGCTCTGTGGCTGTCTGTTTAAATCTTCTGCTCATTTTAAAAATGGGGTTATCTTTTTATTATTGAATTTTAGTTCTTCATTTATTCTGTATAGAAGTCCCTTATCAGATATATGCTTTGCAGACATTTAAATGTTTTCCCATTACTCAGGTTGTCGTGTGTGTGTGTGTGTGTGTGTGTGTGTGTGTGTGTGTGTGTAGCCCTGGCTTGAACCAAGGCCTTGTGCATGTGCTCTGCCACTGAGCACCCTCTCCCTGTAAATTTTGTTTTCAACAGGTTTTTACTGAGTTGCCACACGGACTTCAAACTCCAGCTTCCTGAGTAGCTTGGATTCCCCACTCCACAGGACCAGGGATAACCCAGAGCCTCACACATGCTAGACAAGTGCTCTGTCACTGAGCCACACCCCCAGACTTTGATGAGGTCTTTAAAGCACAGAAGTTTATAATTTTGAAGAAATCCAATTTGTCTGTTCTTTTGTTGCTTGTGTGTTTGGGGTTCCTTTAGTCCTCTCCTGCCTTGGTGCAGTTCAGATGTTACCCAGAAAAGCTGCATTCTTTTGATACATGCTCTCCCCCCATCTCTGTGAGGTGGGGCCACTGGCTTAGCATGCACAAGGCCCTAGTTGATCCCTAGCATTGCAAAAGCAGAACAGCTCCCCATCTTTGCAATTAAGACTTTTGGAGACATTTACTTGCAGTCTTGGCTGCAGGGTACAGGCGGACTCTCATCAGCTTTTCGTCTTCTCCTTGTGTCCCTGGCCCCCAGCACAGTGCCAACTCCGTAAACGTGTAATCATTATGACCCTAAATAGTTTAAAGATTTCTCTGTTTTAAAATTTTGTTTTTACTTTATTATTTTCCCTTCTTTTCCTTCTCCTTTCTTCTTTGTTTCATAAGCTAGCAGCTAAGGTCATCCATTCGAGGTCTCCCTGTCTGAAAAGGTTATGTGCTGTTCATCTCACGTAGGTATTGCTTTTAGCAACATCCCCGACATTCTGATAATTTCTGGGTTTTTGTTTGTTTGTTTTTGTGATATTGGGTATTGAACCTAGGGCCTTTGCAATGAGCTACATCTCCAGCCCTTTTAAATTTATTTTTATTTTTGAGACAGGGTCTTGCTAAATCACTAAGTTGTCCAGCCTGGGCTTCAACTTTAGTTCTTCTTTCCTCAGTTCCCAGAGTGCTGGGAGTAGAGTTGTGGGCCCTATGTCCAGCTCATGTTTTTATTTATTTATTTATTTATTGGTACCGGAGATTGAACTCACGACTGCCTGCTTGTAAGGCAGGTGCTTATGCCGCTGAAATAAATCCCCAGCCCCTCATGTTTTATTTTTATTCAATTCAAAATACTAATATCTGTTTTAATTTCTTACTTGACTCATAAGCTATTTAGAAGAATGTTGTTTAATTTCTAAATATGTGGGGATTTTCTAGAGAGCCTTCTGTTAATGTTCTAATTTAATTCTGTTCTGATCAGAGAATATGCACTGTGTGACTTGGATAATTTTTATTGTCAAAATATAGTGCATTTTGGTAATTCTTCCCTGTCCACTTGAAAAGGATGTGTAAGCTGATGTTTTTGAGAGTCCCATAAATACCATTTAGGTAATAGTGGTGTGCCCAATGTACCCATTGGGGGCGTCCCAGTGTAGCCACATAGGCCAAGAGAAGAAGCAGCCCTGCCACCCCAGACCCCTGGCCATTGGGAAAGCCTTGGTGAAGCTGTGTGGATCTGGAGAAGCCTGCCCCACTCTCCACTGCCTCCCTGAGAACCTGGGTTTAGAGAAACCTAGGTGCCTGGCCTATTCCCCTACACTGTGAATGTGGCAGCCAACATGGGAAGCACCTGGGACCTCACAGCCAGCTTGTCAGGAAGAACTCAGGAAAATATCAAGATGCAGGAACAAAAGGCAATCTCAGACCTCTAGCCCACACAGGACAAGTCTGGGAGATATAGACATGGAAGAAAATGGAAGTTACATATGAAATCTCTCAAAGGATAGCAGCTGAAGTAAAGAAATAACTTCATGAGGCTGTAAAAAGTAACCAGATCAGAAATAATATCTCAGGTAAAAGAAGAAATCACAAATGTAATGAGAGAATTGCTGAGCATATCTAAAGAAGATATAGATAAAAAGGAGCATAAGAAAGTGATGGAAACCTTGAATGAACAATATAGGAAGGAGTTATAATGCATGAAACAGATTCAGAGAGATATCCAGGAAATTAAAAACTCCATCAAAACCTGGAAAAAAATTTTTTTAAATTTTGCCTTTTTCCTTTTTTATCGGTACCAGTGATCGAACCCACGACTGCCTGCTTACAAGGCAGGTGCTTATGCTGCTGAGCTAAATTCCCAGCCCCAGAAACTGGCAAATTTGAAAGAGACTGAAGACAGACTTTCAGATATTGAGGACAGGATTGTAGTTAGCAATCATGAAAAAAAAAAAAGAATCTTAAAAATAAGGAAGGGCCAGGAATTTAGCTTAGTGGCACAAACTTCTGTAGAGCATGTGCTGGGTTATGAGTTTGATCCCCAGTCAAAAGAAACAAAACAACAAAAAACAAAACAAAACCCAAGGAACCAGGAAGTAACAATTGAGTGGCTGTAAGACAATGCAAAGAAAAATAGTGATAGGTGTTAATGAAAAATCAGGGGTCAACACAGATGACATAAAAAGACTATTTACAGAGGTAATAGTAGACAACTTCCCAAACATGGTAACAGGACTTGGCATACAGATAAGCAAGGCATATAGGACTCCAATTAGCCATAGCCAGAATAAATCTACACACAGACATACAATAATCAAGATCTGAGACATTCAGCACAAGAACAGACTATTAAATGCTGTTAGAAAAAAGAAATATCATCTATAAAGGAAAATTCATCAGAATCATGCAGGCTTCTCAACATAAACCATCAAGTCAAGAGCAGCTTGAAGCAGTGTTTCAAATCCTGAAAGAAAACAACTTCTAATCCAGATTGATGTACCCTGCAAAACAGTCTTAAAATTGATGAAAAAATAAGATACTTCCATGATAACAACTGAAGGAATTTCTGACCACCAAAACAACCCTACAGAATGCTAAAGGATATTCTAGAGTACAAATAAAGATGACCATGGCTCCAGGAACAGCAGCACAAGGGGATCACCAAACAGGACATGTAGGTGAACGGAGGGGGAAGGGGGGGGGGGCGCCAACAGCAGGAGGAGAGCATGGCCAAGACGGGCTAATACATTCAGGTTATAACCATTAATGTAGATGGTCTCAGTTCATCAATGAAAAGAAAAACAGAGTGATCAAGATCCATCAATATGCTGTATACAAGAAATACTTTAAACTTGAAAGGGAATTTGTAGACCAAAAGTCAAAGGAGAAAACAATGTTCCATGTGACAGGAAACTAGAAAAAAGCAGAAGTAGCTTGCCCATCAACCGCAGAATGGGTAAGAAAGAAATGGTATTTTTATACAATGGAAAGCTACTCAGCTGTAAGTAAGGATAATCTCGAGACTCTTGCAGGTAAATGCAATTTGAGACCGTACTCATGGGTGATCGTGTTCTCTCCCTAGCTTAAAAAACTGAAGGAATTAGTGGGATTCAAAATGTACAATAGGGGCTGGGGATTTAGCTCAGCGGCATAAGCACCTGCCTTGCAAGCAGGCGGTCGTGAGTTTGATCCCTGGTACCGATAAAAATGAAAAAGACAAAAAAAAAAAATGTACAGTAGATATTGTGAAATTGATATGAAAGGAAATGTCTAAAAAGGGAAGCTGGTAACTATTGTTAATTTCCTATTATTTTGTTTTGAATTCCTGTGTCATTTTCATTGTCTTGTTAGATTTAGTTTTATTCACTCTTGTTTTGTTTGATTTTATTATGTCTGATGGTATGGGCAGCTATTTTTTTGTTAATTTTTATTTTGAAGGTAGTAAAATACAACAGAACAAGACAGAATAAAGCCAACTGAGACAGTGTAGTGAAATTGGTACAGAACTTCACAGCAGGTTACTGGGATAACAGTAATAGGTATCACAGTATATCTCGTTATCTTCACAATAGTTGTACTTTAAATCATATATATCAAAATAAAATGAAATACAGAACATTATAGAACTTATGAAAACAGAATATTGAATAGAGCAGTACCATTAATCAGAATAAAGCAAAACAGTAATAAAAAATATTTGCCTTCAAAGAGATGGTAGAAAGAAATCCCCCCTTATTTGCTATGGGCAACCTCCCAAAAGATGCTCAGATCTCTGGTTCCCATTTGCTAACAGGGGTGGGGAGGGAGTAGAGGAGGGGGTGGGTAGGGAAAGTGGGATGTTAGACTCTCATCCTGTGCACCAATAGGCTCACTATTGCTTACCAGGGAGGCAGGCTGGCTGCTTGGTTTCCTAGCATCCTAAGATCCAACATGGCGTGGATCTCAGGAGACACTGGTGGTTCTCCTCCTGGAGGGGCTGCAACCTGCCACACCACAGCGGCTTACCAGGGAGGGGAGCTGCTTGCTTGGTTTCTCAGCATCCTAAGTTCCAACATGGCGCAGATCTCAGGAGCTGCTGATGGTTTTCCCCCTGGAGGGGCCACAGCTTGGGCAGCTATTTTGAAGATTACATGATATACTATGGTAGCCATTGTCAATTTCTTATTATTGGGTTTTGAAGTCCTGTAACACTTCCATTGTTTTGTTTCAATTGATTTTATTCTGTTCTGTTTTGTTTGTTTTTATTATATCTGATGGTATAGGCAGCGATATTGAAGAAAACAAGAGTCATTACGGTAGCCATTGTTGATTTCCTG